TAGCTACATAGTCATTATACCGTAACTTAGAACTAACACTAATGTAACATTAACGTGCATTACGACATCAACAAACACATTTTACTCATATACATACATTTACAACAAAATTTTTCTCGAAGCGATTTAATCTGACCATGTTCAAATTGTTGTTATACTTATATTTTGCATTATTTTAGTCATTATTTTGTCTTTAGATTTGTTATATATCCGTCTTTGCTATTTGTATTTTTAATTTAATTTTTTTGGTTTTCATTGTTTAAAAATTTTTTTTCTGTAGAATTTCAGGATTTTATTTTCTTCATCAAAGAAAAAAAATAAAGTAATCAAAAATGATTGCCGAATTCGTACTTTCATGTATGTATGTATGTATTTATGTATGTATGTATGTATGTATGTTTGTATCTATGTATGTATGTAGTTTGCATGTATGTATGTATGTATGAATGTATTTTGTTTGTATGTGTGTATGTATTTTGTTTGTATGTGTGTATGTATTTTGTATGTATGTATGTTTGCATGTATGTATGTATATGAGTATGAATATGAGTGTATGTATCTATTTTGTATAAATGTTTATTTGCATGTAAGTATGTATGTACGAGTGTATGTGTATGTTTGTTTGTGTATGTATGTATATGTTTGTTTGTATGTGTGTGTATGTATGAATGTGCGTGTGCATGTAGGTATGTATGTATGTTTTTACCTATGAATAATTATTATAGTATGTTTTATCTTATTTTTTTATGTATGTAAATTTTATGTATGATTCTTTAGTTTTCTTCAAGTGCATGTTTATATATTGTGTGTATGTATAATATATAGTATTCATATATCTATATATCTTTATATATACATATATATTGTCTAAATAATTTATATATAAATATATATATGTGTGTGTGTGTGTGTAATGTGTACGCATATATATATATATATAAAAGTAGATGTAATGTTCCATATATAACCTATAAAATATTTGTGTGCTTGTTTGAATCTTCAAAATGTTATCTTCAATAAAAAATAAGAATCGAAATTCACATAGTGGCATTACTTTTTTTGCGTGGATTTAGATTTCATATCTATGTTTATGATTGAACTGGTTAGCTTTTGCTCATAAGTGTCTGTTTGTGTGTGTCTAAATGCTTGAGTGTATGTGTGTTTGTGTATGTGTATGTATGTGTGCATTTTCACACATTTGTTTCTATTATATGCACATACACCCTGCCGATGTAATTGTGATCAGATGTTTTCGGTGCATGATTTAATTTATCTTTTTTATAAATTTATATTCAGTTTGCACGCTTTTGTTTTGCCTTTTGTTTTGTTTTTGGGAATATTTACGATATGTTTATATGGAATAAACGTCTATATTATTTGGATGGCTCGTTTATAAATGCATATCGGTAGTTTTCAAATATTTTAAAGGGCACTTTATATGTGTGTACGATTACTGAATGTATTCAATGCTTTCGTTAACATCTCATGATTAATAACATTTCGGGGATTATACACGCTCCGCTTCTGTATTCCTACTGAAATGTCCGGTTGTCCGTGTGTTTGTTTGTGTGTTTGTTTGTGTTTGTTTGTGTGTTTGTTTGTGTGTTTGTTGATATGAGGGCAGTTTATTTATTTGATTGGTGTGTCTGTATGTCGACATGGTCAATTTATATATTTGATTTTTATGCAGGCTTGCATGTTTACTTATATATGTATATATATATATATATATATATGTGTGTGTGTTTGGTATGTGCTTGAGTGTGTTGGTGTTTGGTGTGTGTTTGAGTGTGTTGTAGTGTGTGTGTATGCTATGAAATCATCTATATAATAGTTATATATACACGCATGTATACAGGCACACATATGGTTGTTTATTTTTACATTTGTATTTAGTTGCATGCAATTTATATGTGTAGCTGGCTGGTGCAGAATTTTATTTTATTTTCAACGGAAGTAGACATGCATGCATGCTTGCTTTTGTCTGTGTGTGTGTGTGTGTGTGTGCGTGTGTGTGTGCGTCAGTGTGTGTGCGTGCTATTATAAATGCATGTGCGTGTGAATGCGTCACAAATACACACATTTACATATACCCCCACACCAACACCAACACAAACACACACACACACCACATACACACACACACACATGCCACACACACACACACACATGCAAGCACACTCATACACACACATTCAAGTACACTCATGCACACATCTTTATTATTTATTCATAGCACATGATTGAAATAGCATGAATTAAATTAATTAAATTTATTCATCAAATTTTTTCGTTTCAATTCAATGTACAAGTTCAACCTTCGCCTAAACAATCGTAAAACATCGTTATGTTTAGAGCCATTGTTCTATATTTCGAATGCATCATTTAATTGCTTTGGAACACATGGCCTATTTTATCCTTGCTTTTTTGATGTTCCTTATTTTGATAGTTTAAATTTTTATCAATTTTCGTATGTTCATCTTTATGGCTTTGCTGAATAAAACTTCCGCTATTATATTTATAAATAATTTAGGGTATTTATAGACCTATAACACAAACAAAACAATAATAAACAAATAATATATATATGTATATATATATATATAGCGAGAGAGAGAGAGAGAGAGAGAGAGAAAGAGAGAGAGAGAGAGAGAGAGAGAGAGAGAGAGAGAGAAGAAGAGTGAGTGATAAAAGAATGTGTAATAGTGAGAGAGTAACTTGTGGAGAGAGAAATGAGAGAGAGAGAGAAAGAGAGTGAGAGTGAGAAATATTATTGAGTTCTGAGATTTTCCATGTTATATTTCTAGTGTGACAGAGTTTGTAAAGCTTTTGCCGTGAAAAATGTTTGAAAATAAAATCTGACTCTTATTTTATGGCCCATTCAATATTTTTTTTACTCATTTGAAATTCGTTCTGCAAGCTTTTTACAAATTTAATCTCCCATTTACGTTACGTTATAATTAATTACATCGTGTTCGAACATTCTTTATTCTGCAATATTGGGGGGAAAAATTTTTAAAACGGATTAAATTTTTTAAGTACATTAGTACATTAGTTTATAAATTTAAATAACTTTTTAAGTAATTTTTTGGAAAATAATTAAATTAAGCGATTTTTGTAAACCGCACTTATAAGATATAGTCTCATTTTTTTTACATGAGTGGAGACATGGTTCAAACACAAAGTCGTTAATTGTGTTAAACCGTTTATTTTTCCAATCACCCATGTTATTGATAATGATATAACAACAACTACAGCAGCAACAACAACAACAATAGCAACAGCAAACAACAACAACAGCAACAGCAAACAACAACAAATTCAGAAACACTAGTTGTCTTATAGAATGTAACGTTAACTTATTATTTAATTAAAATGATAAATGATAGCCTAAATGATATCTCCCCATGTGTTCTGGTTCTGTTATTAGCAATAACTCATCCTTACTTTACTGGCACCTTCTTTTGCATTGCCACGCAAGTTGTACTTCCATTATAACGTCGTGTTGTATGCTGTGCCAGACTTGGCGTGTAATTTGGCGTTTTACATCTATCTTATTCGTAGAAATTTCACAGTTTTTATTAGATTTTTTATTTTTATTTCATGTTTATATAATATATAATGTCATTAATGTTTCTAGTCTTATAAACAACACGTTTCTTTTTATTTTCTTATCCTATTAATCTAACTTTTCAATTAATTTTTCTTGAGAAAAAACTTTAATTTTAAATAAATTTTCCCAATCACGATATAATATAATATTATTTAAACCAATTTACATAATGACTCAGATAGCGTAGAAAAAATTGAAACAAAATGTTGGCGTTGCATTGGAAATGGATAATACAATACATGATGAATCCCAGATAAACCATACCAACCGGGAAAAAGAACATCTGCTCCTAATACAATAACGCAATAATAATGATAAAATAGTTGATGACATCAACAAAATATGTTCAAATGACGAATAATAATAATAATAATGTTTCTTCGTGTCACAAAAAATAATTTTTTTAACGAATAAGCAATGCAAAAAAGCAATATCTATTGATCGTTGATAAATTTGATGGATAAATTGAAACAGACATTGACAAGAAGAGCAGAAAATAAAGCTGAATAATAATATTTCAAACAACTTCAACGACATTAACAGATGTTGACGGTGAATCAACTACAACAACAGCAACACCTTAGAATGAAACAACGTCATCCAAAACATTAACGCGAACAACATAGATTACAATAACAACAACATTGAAAACAACATCAACAGCATCAACAACATCAAAGCAGCGTCATCAACAACAATTACATCAAAAATAACAACAACAACATCGGCAACATCATCAGCTACAAAACCAGCAACTCTGTACGTACCATAAATCGTTTGAAATAGAGCGAACAGATCGAATGAATACACAAACACACACACACAAACACACACACCAACACACACACACGCACAAACACACACACACAAACACACAATAAATCTTCATGTGTATATAATTTATAAACTATTAACCTTAATTATTTATTAATTTTTAAATAATCTGAGCAATTAATTTATATAAATATATTTATTAATTCATGTAAAAGTAGATACAGAAATACACTTATTAATGTTTTAACGCGCACATCACATACTAAGAAATATCATAAATTAGATACATGCCAGACATAAAAAAAATGACCAACCTTTAAATAAATCTAAATAAATAAAAATAATTTAAAAGCAAATAAAATTCATTCAACTGAAAAGAAGCATAACATAACATAACCTGTTCTTAATATTCATGGCTTGTCGATTACCCCATCACTTCAGCGCACATCTCTTGTTTATGGCTGTCAGACTAACCTCCTCTCTCTTTCTCATGTTCTCTCTCGTCGCCGTGACGTCAGTGGTGAAAACGGATGAGTTCACTTACATGGTGGAAGAGGAACGAAGCATTGGAACGATTGTCGGCGATGTCAAACGGGATGCAGAGCATAAGAGGATGAACCATCCGGAAGATTTTGACTCCAAGAGTAAATACCACCACGTATACCATCCTACACATCAACAGCAGCAGCAGCAGCAGCAACAGCAGCAGCAATGGCATCAGCAGTTTTCAACGACGGAGTATTATTTCTTGTCGGTTAAGCAGAATGTTCCGCTCTTCGAAATCGACAAGTACAGCGGTGTCATCCGAACTAAGGCAAGAATCGATCGAGATGTCATCTGTCCTGCCATGCTGTCCTGCGATCTTTATTTTGATGTCGCTGAGAAAACACAATACCAGATGAACTCTATAAAAATTGTCATCACAATACTGGACCGTAATGACAATTATCCCGAGTTTTCTGAAGAAGGAAGAGTACTCGAAATATCCGAATCTGCTCCGGTTGGGTCGGTCTACACGTTGTCAGTTGCTAAGGATATCGACAGCCCGGATAATGGCGTACAGTTTTATGAACTCATCCCTGATTACAACAATTTTCCGAACAGCGGTATTGAAAGAGTCGATTATTTCCGTCTAAAATCAAAAACTAACAACTGGGCCAAAAACATAATCAACAACATCAACAATCACAACAACTATCACAGAGATTACAATCCCCACCATGCCCACCACTCCAACATGCCCAACCACCAACGAGCAAATAGCGCGCCGACTGTTGAACTGGTACACGCACTCGACAGGGAGACCATCGACGTCTACCGCTTCCAACTTTTGGCGGTCGATGGAGGGGAGCCTGCTAAAACGGGCACCGTCGATATAACCATCATCATTCGAGACGTTAACGATAACATGCCTCTTTTTGAGCAGACGCATTACACGGCAGCTATCGCGGAGAACGTGGCTCGGTTGACACATGTTAGTCAAGTTAGAGCGGTTGACGTCGACGATGGCGTAAATGGCGATGTGGCTTACTACATCGTTCAACAGCAGCCGACGACGCCAATCCAGCAACAACAGCACATTTTCGTTTTTGATAATAATAACAATGAAAATGAAAATGATAACGATCTTAATGAAATATTCTCTATCGATCCAAAGACCGGTGAAATAATTGTGAGCGGCAAAGTAGATTATGAAAAAACCGATTCTTACATTTTAACAGTGGTAGCGAAAGATGGCGCCGTTGCCGATCCACTGTCATCGACGGCTCTTGTCAACGTTCAAATAATTGACATCAACGACAACTCGCCGGAAATATTTGTCAACACATTCACTCAGACTCCAGGAGAAGCGGAAGTGTTTGAGGAAACGGAAGTGGATGCATTCGTTGCTCACGTGACTGCATCAGACCGTGACTCAGGCGATAACGGACAAGTGAGTTGTCATTTGAATGCTACGGATAATTTTCGGCTGGTCGCCACTGGTAACAGGAACGGTCAAAGCGTCGATTATCAGATACTTACGAAGTCAAAACTGGATCGAGAGCTTCGAAACTTTTACATATTAGAGCTGACATGCAGTGACCACGCAAGAGACCAACTATCCAACGTCTCAATCATAAAAGTGATTGTACGCGACATCAACGATAACGTTCCTGAGTTTGAAGAAGCCGTCTATCGCACAGAAATCATCGAAAACAATCCCGTAGGCAAGATGGTGGTGCAAGTGAGAGCACACGACAATGATGAAGGGCTAAATGGCAAAATCGAATATTTCATACCGGAGGAATCCGATCCAGCACTTTATTTGCAACCATCGTCGTCGTCGTCATCATCTTCCTCTGTAATCTCATCCACGTTCGTGAACTCCATGGAGCAGCTGTTCTACATCGATCCAGACAGCGGCGTGTTGAAAGCGGCAGTGATGTTCGACCGAGAACGAGGTGGGGTCATCGATTTACGGGTGGCTGCCAGGGACAGAGGGAACCCGTCGCTAACCTCCACCACTTTAATCAGGCTCTCCATTATTGACGTCAACGACGAAAGTCCCAGGTTTGCGTTTGTTTTTCGTTTGCTGTTCATTTTATTTAAATTAAATTCATCCTTGAAATTTAAAACTTATGTAACTCTCGTATACAATCATAATTCTAACTTTGTTATTTAAACCATTAATTATATATAATAATAATACGATAATTTAATAATAGATTAAATGATATTAAATTATTGAAAAATTGAACAAATTAAGGTTCATGCAGTCGTCATATTCATTCGCCGTTCGCGAGAATCAGCCGACACATACGGAGGTAGGCGCGGTGTCGGCCATTGATTCTGACAGTGGTGCTTTTGGGGATGTAACATACTCCATTGGTTCGGTTAATTCCGGTTTAATTCCTTTCAATCCGTTGTCAAATTATTATCAGAAACCTATCAATAATAGCGGAGTAGAATTGTTCAAAAAATCATCTCCATCTCAAAGCAATGATGACTTATTTGGAATCGATCCCAAAACAGGTTCGATTTTTACCGTTCGTCATTTAGACCGGGAAGAACAAGCGATGCATCACTTGAAAATAATTGCCAGCGATGGCGGAGAACCTTCCCGATCCGGTTTTTGCTACGTCACAATACACGTAGCCGACGAAAACGACAATGCTCCGATATTTGAATATCCGACTAAGCATAACTCGACTCTGATCATATCTCCTCTCACACCCAAGCGTTATATTATTGCGAGAATGAGAGCGAAAGATATTGATTTCAACCGCAATGCAAAAATAACTTACTTGCTGCTGAAGGAAACATCGAAGCAATTGGTCGCTAGCAATGATAAGACTAGAGTTAATAATGATAGAAATGATGATAAAAGTGGTGATAACAACAGCGCAGATGGCAATGATAGTGACGATGACGCCAAAAATACCTCCGATAAATCATCCGGTGATGAAAATAAATCGAGCTCCTCCACATCGTCATTCATTGCTAACAAAGAAAGCAGTCCTCTTAGAACAAAAAATGTTATAGATAGAAATCAAAACAGCAACGGTGGATACATTGGTGACATCATCATCAGCAGCAACAACAACAACAACAACAAAAACATCAACAAAAATCACAACAACAGCATTGATGCGCTCGATTTTTCCAACGTCGATGACAACAATCACGATGACAACTACCATTCAGACGAGTGGAATGAAACGTGTATCAGACATTTTCACATTGATCCGGCGATAGGAACCGTCTCCATCCTTACCGACTTAACCTCTCAAAACGGTTTCTCATACCGACTTTTGGTGTGCGCTAAAGATGACGGCATACCCGAGAAAACTGCCATCGCTAGTTTCACAATCGAAATAAACGAGTCTTCGCCGTTTCCACCGTTATACCGAGAAGATTATTCACAGTACGGCTTTTCCGCTGACGGTTATTACGTACCTGACGATAGCAGTAGCAAATTTGGCCCTCATAACTTTTGGATTGTTTTGTTACTTGCAATTGTGTCAGGTGTTGTGGTCATTGTACTGCTGATAGCCATCGTGGTGGTTTGCCGGCAAGAAGATAAGCGATACTCCAGCCGGTACAACTGTCGGACCGAAAGTCTGAAGATGATACCAAAAGTGGACGCGAATGATATGTCGCCGTCAAGGGGTTGGTTGATGTGTGTAAATAAATGGATGGCAATTTTCTCGAATATGTAAATGAGTGAGTCTATGTGTATGATGGATGAATCGATAAATGTGTAACACTCAATCATTGTAAAAGTGAGTGAATGCGTGAGTGAGTGAAAGATTGAGTGAGTAGGTGAGAGAGTGAGGGAGAGAAAAAGAGTGAGTGAGTGAGAGAGTGAGTAATTGAGTAAGTAAGAAAGTGAGGAAGCGTGTGAGTGAGTGAGTGAGTGAGTAAATTGTTTATGTGAATGGCTCCATGAATATTTTAATACTTAAAATGTTATAATAGAACTCTTGTTCACATAACGGTACCTCATCTTAATTTTAATATATCATATGAAATCTGATAAAAATTAATTAGAAAAACATGAAAAAAAATTAACAACATTAATGGAAAATTGTTCCAACTTAGAACCATCGTTAAAAATAAACTTGTATCCAGTTAACAACTGCACAGTGACGACGACAACGACAACAACGTCTACTTCCTCATCGCAAGCAGCAACAACAACAAAACAGAAACTAAACAGAAATATTTCTGATGTGTCATTGGACGGCAGCGAAAAACTGAAAGAAAAAACAAACATTAACAACAACAAAATTCATACCAACAATATCAGTAAAAACAACAACAAACATGCCTTGACGCTACCGAATGAAAAATTGTTTGACTGTTCATTTCAAAATTCTGACGGAGTTATTGCAAGAGTGAGTTATTGTTTTTGATAGCGAGAATGATAACGATGATCATTATCAAGATTGTCATGGTTGGTGATGACGGTGGCGGTGACGATGTTGATGACGATGATGACAATGATGTAAGTGATGATGATAAAAAACAATTTTAATAAAGATAATTATAACGAAAAATGCAAGAAAAACCCATTAAATATGAACATTGCTATCGATCTTTGACGTCTCGCGACATCATCTTCATTGAATGATCCTAATCTAATCATTGCCATCTAATGACGTCACGATCGGAGATATTTCAATTCTACGGCTTCATAATTCAATCCGGTCGCTGTAATCATCACCATCATCATTTTTTGTTGTCGCCATCGTTATGATGATAATAACCACCACGATGCATTTGTTAATACTATTGTTTTTTTCATCATCATTTTAGATGTGTTTCACTCCATCTGTAATCATTTTCTAATCATTATCATCGTTAGCGTCATCATCATCATCGTCGTCATCATCATCGTCATCATCATCATCACCCTCCTCCACCTCCTCCTCCTCTTCATCCTCCTCCTCCTTCTCCTCATCATCATCATCACCCTCATCATTACCATCGTCATTAGTATTACCATTACTGTTATAATCATCGTCGTCATCGTTGTCATCATCATCATATGTGCGTGTGTGTGTGTGCTTATGTGCGTGTATGTGTGCTTATGTGCGTGTGTCTGTTTATTCATCAACTTATTTTCAAAAGCTTTAACTGGTATATATTCAATTTTACGTCAATAGCCACGAAGACCTAGAGTTATTAGTATTGCGATTTTCATTAACATTTAATAATGCACTAATTACTCGGCCGGGCCATTCAGTTGCTTGGCCTTGATAATATATAAATAATTAATATTGTTATGGTTATTATTAAAATTATTATTATCATAATTATTATTATTATTGCTTTAATTATTTGTTGTAGAAGTGGTTGTGATTGTCTTAATGTCAAACATGTAGAACAGTTAGAATCTTGTTATATAGTAATAGTAGCAAGTTGTAGTAGTAGTAGCGGTAATAGTAGTAGTAGTAGTAGTAGTAGTAGTAGTAGTAGTAGTAGTAGTAGTAGTAGTAGTAGTAGTAGTAGTAGTGACTATTTTGGTTGTAGTAGTAGTAGTAGTAGTGGTAGCAGCAGGCGTCTAAATAACGGATGGGTGCAATTAATTTCCCATCCCGCCATCAAATGCAGAGCAGCTCAACGGACCACAACAATCACCATCATCTCGACACGCAACGCTGAACGGTCGCTACTGATGCCGCTGCTGCTGCGGCTATTTTTGATTTTATTTCGTGAGCGACGGTGATGACGATGATGATAATGGTGATGACGACTGGGACGAGTTCTATGAGTCTAGTGATGATGACGACGATGATAGTGGGTTTATTAATGAAAAAGATGACGATTACGATGATGACAATGATGATGATATGTTGGATGATGACAAGTTTCGATATATCATCACTGATGATTATGGCAATAATGACGATGATATTATCCCGAAAGTGATAATGTTAAAAATGATGATGCTTATGATGATTAGGATGACGATGACGATGTTGGGGATGATGCAGACCACAATGATAAAGTCGTCAATAGAAGGAATAAAAGTGATGAATCTGATAATGTCCATTAAGACGATGATGATGACGACAACGACGATGATGACGACAATGATTATGGGACTGTAAGTGTTTGCATTAACATTGGCTATTACGATGATGATGACGACGAAGATGACGATGATGACGATGAAGATGACGATGATGGTTTCAAAAATGATAATAATTTTTAAAATGATAAAAATTTCTGCTAGATTGTCTAAAAATAAGGACGTCAGTAACGATGACGATGACACTGGCGATGATATCAATGATGATATGATATTTGTAATTATGACGATGATATCAATAAAATGATTCTTGTAAGGATGAAGGTGATATCAATGATGAGATGATATTTGTAGTGGTGGCGATGATGTCAATTAGGATATGATATCTGTAATGATGGCAGTTGTATCAAGATTAGATAATATTTGTAAGGATGACGATGATATCAATAATGAGATGACGTTTGTAAGGATGAAGATGATATCAATATTGAGATGATACATTTAATGATGACGATGATATCAGTGATACTTCTAATAATGCTGACGATGATATCAATGATAGTAATAATAAAAACTTGTTTTATGCAACCTGTGCTTCAGTTGAAAACCATCAATCACAAACACGCGAATAAGAAGCAACAAAATCGTCGTCGTCTTTGTCGCTGCCATTGCTAATATCATCGCCCTTCTCATCATCATTATTATCATATTCGCTATACACAGTTATAACTGTTGTTATTTGTGGTCGTCATCATCTTCGCCACATCATCTTCATCACTTCTTTTTTATATCATCATCTTTAACTACACCAATGTACATAATAGTCATTTGTGAGTTGAAAGACACGAACACGTAAAGATGAAAAACATTTCATCTCTATGTGCGTTCCATTTTAAGTTAACGGCGCATTAAATAAAATTATATGATCGATTTGAAAGGCGAATAAAAGATAAATGAAATGTATCATTCCGTATCTTATTTCGTTACACAAACACACATACATGCACATACACAGAAACACACACACACACAAACAAACAAACACACACACACAAACAAACAAACACACAAACACAGACATATACATATATGTGTGTATATATATATGTATATAGATAGTGTGTATATAATATTCATGGTCATCATGGCGATCAAGTTGATGAGCGTTTAGAGATGGGCATAAAACTCTGAATGACGGTATTTAAATGGCGCATTAAAAAATCGAATATCGACTATTAGGCGAGTATTTAACGATGGGAGCCTTAATACTATTTATGCGTTCATCTTTTTTATTAATCGCAGGAATGGGAGTTTGATTGGGAGGAAGTTTTTAAATGTTCTTAAAATGCTCGAAACATTTTACCGGTGATGCAATCTGTGGCGGCCACCATGGTGAAGATGATGAGGATGAGGATGGAGATGATGATGAAAATGATGATAGTGATGATTAAAATGATGATGATGATGATAATGATGATGATTATGAAAATGATGATGAGGATGATGAGAATGATGATGATGGTAATGATGAAAATTATGGTGATGATGATGAGAAACATGATATATAAGAAATGGTAACGTCGATTTAAAAGACGACGATGATGAAAATGATGAAGACGAAGATGATGATGACGAAGATGACGTCAGCCT